TCCCTGAGCATAGTTTGTGTCTCTTATTGTCCCATATAGTAGCATCAGTTTTCTAGTCGTAGTATGTCGTGCATTGGGGGCCTTAGGTCTTTGGGAAACCATATCCTGTGTGTTAGATGTATTAAACTTTTTCCTTGTGATTCTAGTTCTACCTATTGTCGCGTGTACTTGTTGGAGTGGCATGAGATAATATTGGCTACCTGTGTTGCCCTATGGTATTCCCTTATGCTGGGAAAACAGAGTCCTCCCTCCCGCACCCCAAGAGCCAGGAGCCTCCACGGTACCCTAGGTTTTTTGTTCTGCCAGTAGAATTTTAATTAGACTCTGTTGAATAGATTTGAGGTAATGGGTAGGAATCGGAATTTGCAGAGTGCGGAATAGATATAGAAGTTTGGGAAGGATCATCATTTTGATTGCCGCTGTCCTTCCCACCCATGACAGGTACTTCACCTCCCATTGTTTAAAGGTATTAGCTATCTCTATTTGCAATTTGGTATAGTTCAGTTTAAATAATAAGTCAGGGGATTTCACTAGTTTAATTCCCAGAAATGTCAGGTAGTCCTGTCTCCAGTCAAAGGGGAACGCCTGTTTGAGTCTCTCTGTTGTGTGCTCGTCTATGCCTATGCCCATCGCTTGGGTTTTGGTGATATTCAACTTGTAGTATGATTGTGTGCTGTAGGACCGTAGTTCTTTTTGGAGGTTTGGAAGAGAAATGTGGGGTTGGGATAGAGTCAATAGTACATCATCCGTGAAAAGGTTGAGTTTATATTCTTTGTCCCCTATTTGTATTCCGGGTATGTTGGGGTTTTGTCTGATAGCCTCCGCAAGCGGCTCCAAGGCCAGAACATACAGGAGCGTGGAAAGGGGGCAACCCTGTCTCGTCCCATTTGAGATGTTAAACGGGTCCGACAGAAACCCTGACGTCATGACTCATGCGTTGGGATTGCTGTATAGAGCTCCCGCAGCTGTCCGAAAGTCTTGGGGGAAGTCAAATTTGCATAGTACTGTGTCGAAAAATTTCCAATTCAGTCTATCGAACACTTTTTCTGCATCTAGGGATACTAGTAGGCCCTGTCTTTTGTGTTTTTGTAACGTGTGCAGAATGTCTATTACTTTCCTGGTGTTGTCTGGTCCCTGACGGCCCTGAACAAAGCCTATCTGTTCGTCTGTTATAAGGGCAGGCAATATGGGTTTTAATCTAATGGCTAGAATTTTGGCATACAGCTTTGTATCCAAATTCAGAAGTGAAATCGGCCTGAAGTTCTGACATGGTGTAGGAGGCTTTTCCGGCTTTAGTAGTGTTATTATCGTTGCCGCTAGGAAGTCGGCGGGATGCTCCCCGTCTTTAGGGTGTAATTAAAGGCCACTTTCAACTGCGGGGCTAGTACATGTTGGAATTTCATGTAGTATGTGTTGGAGTAGCCGTCTGGGCCTGGGGCCTTACCTTTGGGTAGGGCTCTAATACACTGTAGTATTTCCTCATCTGTAATGGGTGCTGCTAGGACTTGACTTTGTTGCTTTGTAAGTTTCGGCAGGGGGATCTCTGCAAGATACGCATCGAATCCTCCCTCCAAGGGGTTGGTCACGTCATGGGTGTCTTTCAGGTTGTATAGTTGGCTGTAGTAGACCTTCAGTCTTCTCGCCATGAGTCTACTAGTTTTGTTCCCCTGTATGTAAGTGTTAGCATTTAGATTCTTTAGGATACGTCCATATTTAGTCAGCTGCAGTTCCCTAATCTTGGTTTGAAGAGTTGTAATTTGTGTTTTAAGGGCTACCATTGGCTTGAATTGATTGTCCCTGTGTAGTTGATCTAGTTCTCCCTGCCATTGTGTAAGCTGTCGCGTCGCCCTTTTCTTGAGGTATGATGCCCGACTGATCATTGTGCCTCTCATCACCGCTTTGTGCACCAGCCAGAGCATGTGTGGGTTGTGTACTGATCCAGTGTTTGTGTCAAAGTAATGTTGGAGCTCCGTCTCTACCTGTTCACAGAAGTGGGTGTCTAGGAGTAAGCTGTCATTCAGTCTCCAAGGGCTTCTATGCTTGTAGTCATAATTGTTTGTGAGTGTGAGGGTGACTGGCCTGTGGTCTGACCAGTCTGTTGGGATGATGTTACAGCTGGTCACTCTGGCCATGGCGGTGTCATGCATCAGTACCCCGTTTATTCTTGAGTATGTGTTGTGTATAAATTCTTTGTCCCCCAGGCGTTGTGCTCTCCATACATCTCTCATCCCATGTCTTGAGATTAGAGTTTGCATGGCTTTACTTTCTTTTATGAGTTTGCGGTAGTTCGCCGTGGACTCGAGCCTCGTGGAGTTGAGGCACGAGTCAAGGACATTGTTGAAATCTCTGCATATCAAGAGGGTTCCTTTTCTAACTTGCTCTATTTTGGTGAGCACTTTGTGTAGAAAGTCTGTTTGGTACATATTGGGGGAATAAATATTGGCAATTGTGTACTCCATCTCATTGATTGTACATTGCCAAATAGCGTATCTCCCCCCGGGGTCTGTGATTGGTTTGTAGGTTGTAATAGTGAGGTCTTTACCCAGGAGTATAGATACTCCCTTAGCTTTGTGTGGTGATGTAGCATTTAGTTGCTGCAGGTATTGGGTATTTCTCTCTATGGGTTGCAGGTGGATATTGGGTGTATTGGTTGTGTAGTGCGGGATGCGAGGCGCTTGGCATGCAAGCACAAATTTACAGTTGTATACCGACTTGCCCAATTGGGCTAGTAACCCCAAAACAGTGAGACCTTAATACCCTCCTAACCTCCTTCCTGTCGGTCTCAGGTCCGCTAGCTGATATTGCTAGCTTTTAATACATGGGGTGTCTGGAGACCGGTCCGGCCTCCTGGTCATGCAGTGTGTTGCGACCCGTCTCTGGCCTTACTAAGTTTTTTTATTTTTTTATTAATTAATTTAGTTTTATTTTGTTTAATTTTTTTTTTTTGCCTTTTGACAATATGTTTGTTTTTTTTGTTCATTTTTTGGTTAACCCCTTGCTCCTCGGTTATGTGGCCCTCTGAACCCTCCCAGAGGGATCCTCAGCCCCTTACCAAACACACGTCTCGGGGAACAAGGTGCAAGCTGGGGAATATTGTAGGGGAGTGAGTAAACTGGGATGGGTTGAGGGGGAGTGTGGTGTGTTGTCCCTGACTGTGGTCAGCTCTCTTGCTGCACTATACCTTCTGTGCGGGCTCTGGGAATCTGATCACTTCACAATGCTGCATGTAATGTTATACTCTGCTTACCCTGTGCACCGCCTAACATCTATTGCTCCAGAGTCTCCCTGGTTAAGATTGTCAGTCTCTTTAGTATAAAAGTTCATCCGTGCGCCGCCAAAACGGTACTATTCTCTTTGTCTTAAGTAAAGTCCTGAGTATCTCATCCGTCGGTGTCCTCTTTGGGATGTCTGGTACAGGTTGCAACATCCCCCTCTATCGGCTGACTGTTTATTCAGTGTTCTTCATTGTTTTCGGCCGTCGGACAGTTCTCCATTCCAGTGATGCCCCATTCGCAGAGTAGTCTGGTGCCCTCTGCTATGTCTGCAGCAGCATGGAGCTTGCCAGCGTGTGAGATCAGGAGTTTTGCTGTGAAGCACCAGCGGTATGGGATCTTCTTGTCTCTTAGCTCTGTAGTAAGATTTCTGAATTCCCGCCTCCTGCGCAAGGTCTCTGCTGAGAGGTCTGCAAACACCTCAATTTTCCTGTATTGCTCTGGTAAGTCCTGTATCGCTCTGTTGGAGCGGAGGAGTATCTCTTTCACGTGAAAATAGTGAAGTTTAGTGAGCACATCCCTGGGAGTGGCAGCGGACAGATGTTGCGGTTTTGCCACTCTATGTGCTCTGTCCATCAGGAACATGGAGGGCTGTATGTCCGGGGCTAGTGCCCGGAAGAGGCCTGTTAGGAAGGCTGTGAGGTCTTTCACCTGGATCTCCTCTGGGATTCCTCTGAGCCTCAGGTTTTGTCTCCGAGATCTTTCCTTCAGGTCCATTGCTTTTAGTTCTTGCTTGTCCAGTCTAGCCTCCAGCTCCTCCATTTTATCTACCATGCTGTTATGTGCCTCTGTAAATTCCTGCATCTTAGATTCCATTTGCGCTGTGCGATTATCTAGCTCCATCATGTCTCTCCGTAGTTCCGAGACAGCTGTTTGCACCGTGGCTTGTATTTTAGCCGGCATATCATCCAACACATGTTGGAATATTTCTCCCTGTATGTGAAGACACACGCGTGGGGACTGGGGCCTAGACCCTTCCCTGTCTTCTCCACTGCCGTCGCCATTTTGGCACTGCCCAGCTGATGGTCTGGTGCTTGCCGGTTTGGCTGCAAAAAAGGAGTTTTTATCTTTGGCGTCCATCGTTTTCCTCGCTCCACTCTGGGTCATGGTAGGTTCCCCAATCATTAGGTGCGGTACGGGGTGATTTCATTGCTGTATGTAATGCTTTTGTGGCCGTTGACAGAGGAGCTCAGACCCTATGTGACCATGTCGATCGAGCTCAGGTTTCCACCCCAGTGTTCTCCAATTTTAAGGGCCTAACCCAGAAGTAGAAATCAAAATTTATGTTCCAAAAAGGAACCAAAGTATTGGAGTAACACCTATGAATAGAGCAATATAGAAAAAATAGAAAGGATTAACAATGAAGTCCCAACATAAAGAACCATGCAAAAAATAGGGTGTATGTAATAAAACCAAAGCCTAAATAGGATTCAAGATGGATAGGAACACTTCTAAAGGGACATGATTGCCCTAAGAAACACTTAAATATGAGCAAAAAATATAGCTTGTCCCAGAAAATTCCAAGAGTGTATATCCACTTGTTAATAGATACAATAAATGATCCGCTACCAAAATGGCAGAGTGATCTATAAACTATCTATAACCTCAAAGTATCTGAAGGAGCAGTAAATGAGCAGCTGAGCAAAAAATTAAGTCTGATAAAGTGGGTCCTTCCAACCCTACACAGAGTCAGTCTACCCCAAACTCTCTCTATAGACTCGGTATAGAATGGATCGTGCAAAGACGATCCACGCAACTCAGGTAACTAGCAATAGGACACTCAGTGGGAATACATACATCCATACTATCAGATGAGCAGAGCTGGCACCGTTTTAACCATAAAAACTACTTGCAAAGAAATATGGTGTTAGTCAACCAGACGTCTAAACTAATCACTACATCTGAATACCAGTGAGTAGGTGGAGAGGTACTAGTTAATATAACTTAACTCTACAGTCTGCCAAAAAGAACTGGTGAAATCACTAAGTGGACATATCTCCTTGTGTGAATCAAAAGTCCTATAGATGAAATGAAGAATTCTGACTAATACACACTCGCTAGGTTACCTACAATCTAAAGAAGCTCCTCGAGCTACCCCCTTTGCTTAATTAACAAATACGAAATAACATCTAAACACTCATAAGCTCCATCAGCCTAAAGCCCAAATACAATAAAGAAAATAATAGTAGAAAAAGAAGCGTTAAAAACCCCCGAAGCGCGTTTCGGCGCTACTGTAATGCGCCTTCGTCTGGGGCTAGTAAGAGGTAAGAGCCTCCCAGGATTCCATTTTTAAAAGTCTGCGCCAATTCATTAGGTACGCCCCTCTAGAGAAGTCATCCAATCAAAATTAACGATGGGCGTGCTTAGAGAGAATCACCACATCCAAACACTATGGCGTGGGAAAAATTAATGAAAACAACTATACTAATCGATCCTAAAGGTCCATATCTGTTAATCGTCACAACTTATTGTAATAGAGTCTGTTAATATAGAATACACTGCTGTCTAGAGGTTATTCAAAGTAAAGGAGGTAATAACTCTCCAATGAATATCCAAATGACATTATAGGAGCATGAAGATTCGCTCGCTAAATGTGAAAGACACTGTTGCCGATCATAGAGTGATACAAATATGAAGACACAATCTTTTACACTTAGCGAGCAGATCTTCGCACTCTTATACGACATTTTGATATTCAGTGAAGTGTTATTAGCTCCTTGATATTGAATAATCTCTAGATAGCAGTGTACTTTATATTGACAATTACAGTATGATTGTGTGGCGAAACCAACCTCGCCACTGTGAACTGGAGAAGCCTGGTTGCTCGCCTGCTCCCTTTGGACTATGGCCCTGCAGGTTAAACTGTTTATTTCCCCTGCAGAAAGGCTTATTTGTGTGATCTGAGTGCCATTCATCTAATAATGTGCACTCAGATCCCAGCTATCTGGGGATATGTGAAATGTCTGTGTGTTATGTGTAAATGTGACTTTATGTATTTTAAAGTGTTTTGTGTCTTTTTGCAACCATGTGCTTAATGGAGTCTTGTGTCTGTCCTGGGAGATAATTGAATTACTTATCTCCAGGATAGAAGACTCTGAAACTGGTTTGGGCCAGAAAGCCATGCTTCATTTAGTCACAAAGGACTTTTTACTAACTTTTGAACCCCTTGTCTGATTTGTGCCATTTTGAATATGTTGTTCCCCTGAATGGATTGATTGTGAATATGTAATTTTATGTGAATGTGATGTATGGTTTTGGAGTTATGAAAGTTGGGTAGAAAGTATGTTTTAACTGTATGTATAATTGAGTTTCCTCTCAGGATAAGGGGAGGGAATATGTGGGATGTAACTGTGATGTGATTGGTTGTTTTGTAACGCCCTGTGGGCTGTACCTGTTTTGCAAGACTGTAATAAAAACCAGGCTGGGTGTGCCAGCACCTGAGTTCCTGTTTTAACCCTCAAAGTGAAGTGTCGTCTCATTATTGGGGGAAGGATTTATTGTATGCTGTTCCAGTTTGACTGCTAGGAGAGTAAACCTATTCGTATGGTTCCTATTCAACTGTCTACAGCATTCATATGCTTGAGAGGATTCATATGCTTCTCCGGTTCGGTGGTTGTGGTGTCTGCTGCAGTGCTTGGAGTCCTCAGGAAGCGCTAGGAGCATCCTTTCAACGGAGGTACCCAGTCGGGGTGCCAGGCGATCCGTTACATTGGTGGCAAGCGGTGGGATGGCGTCCTAGTGCGAGGTAAAGCAGCTCGGAGACACAGTTCGTGGATTTACAAATTGAGGGCAACGCTAGTACCCGTACAGCGACCCTATCTACAAAAGAACTAACTTCAGCAGAGCAAGCATGGCGTATGACTACACTCAGGAGGAGTTTGACAGAGAGGTTAATGAGGTGCTGTCTACCTTTGGACCCAACCCCCCAGAGAGAGCCGTGCAGCTCGCCAGGAAACTAGTAGGAGAATACCTGCAATCTCTAGTAGATTTGGCCAAAAAGGAGTCCCAGGGAGCCAAAGGTGTCGTCCTTCCTCCCCAGTGGCAGTGTGTGTCCCAGGGAGCTGAAGGTGCCGTCCTTCCTCCCCAGCGGCAGTGTGTATCCCAGGGAGCTGAAGGTGCAGTCCTTCCTCCCCAGCGGCAGTGTGTATCCCAGGGAGCTGAAGGTGCAGTCCTTCCTCCCCAGTGGCAGTGTGTATCCCAGGGAGCTGAAGGTGCAGTCCTTCCTCCCCAGCGGCAGTGTGTATCCCAGGGAGCTGAAGGTGCAGTCCTTCCTCCCCAGCGGCAGTGTGTATCCCAGGGAGCTGAAGGTGCAGTCCTTCCTCCCCAGCGGCAGTGTGTATCCCAGGGAGCTGAAGGTGCAGTCCTACCTCCCCAGCGGCAGTGTGTATCCCAGGGAGCTGAAGGTGCAGTCCTTCCTCCCCAGCGGCAGTGTGTGTCCCAGGGAGCTGAAGGTACAGTACTTCCTCCCCAGCGGCAGTGTGTAACCCAGGGAGCTGAAGGTGCCGTCCTTCCTCCCCAGCGGCAGTGTGTACCCCAGGGAGCTGAAGGTACCGTCCTTCCTCCCCAGCAGCAGTGTGTACCCCAGGGAGCTGAAGGTGCCGTCCTTCCTCCCCAGCGGCAGTGTATATCCCAGGGAGCTGAAGGTGCAGTCCTTCCTCCCCAGCAGCAGTGTGTACCCCAGGGAGCTGAAGGTGCAGTCCTTCCTCCCCAGCGGCAGTGTGTACCCCAGGGAGCTGAAGGTGCAGTCCTTCCTCCCCAGCGGCAGTGTGTACCCCAGGGAGCTGAAGGTGCAGTCCTTCCTCCCCAGCGGCAGTGTGTACCCCAGGGAGCTGAAGGTGCCGTCCTTCCTCCCCAGCGGCAGAGTGTCCTGCAGGGAGCAGAGACCGTCAGTCTCGCACCCCAACCACAGGACAAAATAATGAAAGGGGAGACAGCTGGTCCCCCTCTCCACCAGCAGAGAGAGTGTCAGGGAGAGGAGCCTGATACCCCTTCTCCCCAGCGGCAGTTTACAGTTCAGAGAGAGGAGCTTGTTACACCCTCTCTCCAGCGGCAGCCTAACCCAGCAAGGGGAGATGTTACACCCCCAACAGTGCAGATGGGACTGTAGTCTCTGCACTTACAGCACAAGGGGTAGGGACAGTCGGTCCTGTTCCCCAGCCACAGAGCGGTGTATCCAGAGGGGAGACAGTCGGTCTCTCCCTCCCACAACCAGGCTCCCACCAGGCTACTTCCGTGGTAGCACTGGCATCAGGGCAGAGTACCGCTGGTCTCTGCCCACTCAGCAACCCACCAAGGCAGCCTAACAGTTGCCCACACAGTCGTGGTGAGGCACCTGGACATGGACAAAGTTCTCCTCTACCCAGGTGTAGTAACCAGTTATTGTGGGTGGGCTGTACTGCTGTTTCTGTTTTGTGGGTGGGTTGCTGGACTAACCAGGGCACTGACCGGCAGGAGGTCAGATACCCTGTTAGTCTAGTTGGTAAAGGGGAGAAGTGTGGCGAAACCAACCTCGCCACTGTGAACTGGAGAAGCCTGGTTGCTCGCCTGCTCCCTTTGGACTATGGCCCTGCAGGTTAAACTGTTTATTTCCCCTGCAGAAAGGCTTATTTGTGTGATCTGAGTGCCATTCATCTAATAATGTGCACTCAGATCCCAGCTATCTGGGGATATGTGAAATGTCTGTGTGTTATGTGTAAATGTGACTTTATGTATTTTAAAGTGTTTTGTGTCTTTTTGCAACCATGTGCTTAATGGAGTCTTGTGTCTATCCTGGGAGATAATTGAATTACTTATCTCCAGGATAGAAGACTCTGAAACTGGTTTGGGCCAGAAAGCCATGCTTCATTTAGTCACAAAGGACTTTTTACTAACTTTTGAACCCCTTGTCTGATTTGTGCCATTTTTGAATATGTTGTTCCCCTGAATGGATTGATTGTGAATATGTAATTTTATGTGAATGTGATGTATGGTTTTGGAGTTATGAAAGTTGGGTAGAAAGTATGTTTTAACTGTATGTATAATTGAGTTTCCTCTCAGGATAAGGGGAGGGAATATGTGGGATGTAACTGTGATGTGATTGGTTGTTTTATACCTCCCTGTGGGCGGTCCTGTATTTGCAAGACTGTAATAAAAACCAGGCTGGGTGTGCCAGCACCTGAGTTCCTGTTTTAACCCTCAAAGTGAAGTGTCGTCTCATTATTGGGGGAAGGATTTATTGTATGCTGTTCCAGTTTGACTGCTAGGAGAGTAAACCTATTCGTATGGTTCCTATTCAACTGTCTACAGCATTCATATGCTTGAGAGAAGGTATACGCTTCTCTGGTTCGGTGATTGTGGTGTCGGCTGCAGTGCTTGGAGTCCTCAGGAAGCGCTAGGAGCATCTTTCAACGGAGGTACCCAGTCGGGGTGCCAGGCGATCCGTTACAATAGTCACTCAGATCAGGGCTATCTGGGGAGAGGGTTCCATATATTTTGGTGGTACTTTTGGGTGTCTCAGAGCGTGTGGTCTTTTAGAGCGATCACATGGCCCGCGGGGGCCTAATTTGCTGAGGGGGGACTCTCTGGGCTGTCAGGCAGCCCCAGACCAGGAGCAACACCGGCAGGGGAACAACGGCGATTGGTTAAGTGCATAGGACGGCTCATATTTGCGGTCCTAACCTTACTCTCACTAACTCATGTTTATTCCCTCACTTATTTAACCTTACTCTCACTAACTCACATTTACGCGCTCACTTATTTAACCTTACTCTCACTAACACACATTCATTCCCTCACTGATTTAACCTTACTCTCACACACTCATGTTTACTTGGTCACTTATTTAACCTTACTGTCACTAACACACTTTCATTCCCTCACTTATTTAACCTCACTCACATTTACTCCCTCACTTATTTAACCTTACTCTCACTAACTTACATTTACTCACCCACAGGATGGCAGACTCACCAATACTCAGCTTCAAAAGCTTTTAGCCAGTCTGTTCAATGAGTTTGGTAAGTGATCGTCATTGCTAATACTCTGTTTCCGGATAAGGCATTGTCCACAAGGGATCCAGGAGCTTCTTTTTAAAAATAATATTGTTAAATAGAGATGTCGCGAACTGCTCGCCGAACTGTTCGCAAACTGTCCTCCGGCGAACAATAGCGTGTTCGCCTTGGGCGAACATATACGATTTCCGGTCCGCCCCCTATTCGTCATCATTGAGTAAACTTTGACCCGGAACCTCACAGTCAGCAGACACTTCCTGGGAGGGAGGGTCTGCTGCTGATTGGCTGGAATGTGTCTGCTGACTGTGAGGTTCCGGGGTCAAAGTTTACTCAATGATAACGAATAGGGGGCGGACAGGAAATCGTATATGTTCGCCCAACGCGCTATTGTTCGCCGGCGGACAGTTCTCAAACAGTTCGGCGAGCAGTTCGCGACATCTCTACTGTTAAACAGTTTTTTAATAAAGACAAATGCCATTCCCACCATGCAATAGTGCTATTTCACCGGGATAATGCTGGTTACCTTTAATAACCTCTCCTTGCCTCCTGTTTCTTGTTACCTCAGGTTACCACTAGAGATGTCGCGAACTGTTCGCGAACTGTCCACCGGCGAACAATAGCGTGTTCGCGTTGGGCAAACATATCCGATTTCCGGTCCGCCCCCTATACGTCATCATTGAGTAAACTTTAACCCGGAGGGAGGGAGGGTCTGCTGCTGATTGGGTGGAATGTGTCTGCTGGCTGTGAGGTTCCGGGTCAAAGTTTACTCAATGATGAAGTATAGGGGGCGGACCGGAAATCGGATATGTTCGCCCAACGCGAACACGCTATTGTTCGCCGGCGGACAGTTTGCGAACAGTTCGGCGGACAGTTCGCGACATCTCTAGTTACCACCTCTCGTTACCACTGGATTATTCCTCTATAAATAGTAAATTACCCCCTTTCATTACCTCTTGTTACCCCTTCTCATTACCTCTGGTTACCCCCTCCTATTACCCCTAGTTACCCACGGTCATTACGTCTGATTGCCTCAAGTTACTGTTTCTACAGACCTTTGAAAATTTAAAGGAACAAATATGTATTCCTGACCCTATAGTGTTAAAACCACCATTATTGACCCACCCCCCCTCCTGCTTTGCCCACCAAATATGTTATAATCTTACCTTTATTCCAGTCTGCTGCTGCTGGCACTGCCCCCTATCTGCCTTCTTGGCTGACATTATCAGAATTGTTGCTCATATCCAATTACAATACTTTTACCATATGATTGGCTGAGTCAAGGAGGCAGATAAGGGGCAATGCAAGCACAAGTCAAAAACATCCCTGGTCAATCAATGGATCTTTATGAGGAAAGTTCAGTGTCTGCATGCAGAGGGTGGAGAAACTGAATGTCAGTACTGCACTGTGTGCAGCACTACCCCAGGAAGCACCTCTAATAGCCATCTGAGGAGAGTCCAGTGGAGGTATCCCTAGGCTGTTATATAAACACTGCATTTTATATGAAAATACAGTGTTTACTACAAAAAGCCTGAAGGGGCTGATTATACTCACCAGAACAAATACAATAAGCTGTTGTTCTGGTGACAATAATGCCCCTTCAATGCTATTTTCCCAGATTTTTTGTGGCCCAGAGTGTCTCTTGCATATTAAATATGAAATGTATGGAGGTGAACACTACTATAATGCCCCTCCCTCAGCTGGCACAGGGGCACTGACTGACCTCCATTAGGGTGTCTGTATCAGAGTAGTAGCAGTTGCTGGCAGTGACCCACGGTTCATGTAATATTACTATTTTTATGCACAGCTAGAAGGTAGACTATTTGTGCTAGCCATATTATGAGAATATACGATATATCTGATATGATCTGGGTTATTTTTCTCCCCACAGCACCCACTCTGCCTAGTTTCACCTTGGATATGTGCCGCTGCCTTCTTGCTTCCGTGGATGTATCCTGAAATATGAACATTCCCCCGGTGGTGTGTAGACCATCAGTGGTCCAGCACCTATGCATCCATTATCAGAGTGGTTGTACTGTCCTCCTTCTAAACTCCAGAAACCATTATCAACGCCCTCAGCGGCAATACCTGCGGTTATTACACCGCTGTCTGTTCTCTGAGATTAAAGGGTTATTCTAGTGTGACCCTAAATTATCTATATTATGATTATTGGCAGTGCCTTACAACAATATAAAGGGGGAAGTTAACAGGAAATTAGATAAACTAGTCGAATTGTGACAGTAATGATGGGTTGATGAGGATCCTGCTCCAAGGAGCTTACAATCTAGATATTTGAATTAACTATGTAGATTACACATTACAATATTGCAAAATAAAATAACAAAATTAAAATTTTACTTATCTTAAAGAGTCCCAGAGCTGCAAGCGGAATACAGAGCATGTGCCCTTTTAAACACAGCAACATTCCTGTGGTTTCCACGGTGATTGCTTCACTTTGACAGAATTGCATCTTCTAGGTGCAGCCTGGTGTGAGACATTGCAGACCAAATATGAGATAGAAATGGGGTTCTACGTTCAGATAGCGTGTAGTCTTTACCTCTGTTTATCCTGAACATTTAATATGGAATTCCCTGCTTTGATGAGTACAGTACGCAGTAGATGTGACAATTGTGCCCCTGTCCCCTCATCATTTCTCTTCTGTTGTGAGTCCATAACTCCTGCCAGACAGCTGCTGTGGGTTCCATAGACTATGAGCAGTTTACTGAACTCTGGAAGGCCATCTCAACTGGGACGGTGAGTACTGTATCCACCCTCTCAATATTAGAACCTGCAGTGATAGCAATAAAGCAACAAAGATTTGTATCTATCTGCAGCGCATATTCTATAACATGCCCAGGCAGGAGGATGGCAAACTTGGCAAAGATCAGATTGTACCAGCCCTGCAGGCCGCAGGTAAGAAATTCGTAAAGTTCATTCATTAAAAAAAATCTTTATTTTAAAAAGTTTATTGATTATGTCCAAGTACAGGGGGCTACAGTCCCTTTAAAACCCAATTAGATATATGTGAAAAATCCAATAAATAAGATAAAATAAAAATACAATATAGTAAAACAATACAATACGCTGTAGTAATACAATATGGTATAATACTGTGACAGATCCCCTGTTTTACCTTGACTGGTCTGGTATACGAATACCACCGAACAGATTGGACAATTTTGGTTTGTATAATGAACAATATACCAAATGGATAGACCACTCAGAACAGTTGTATGCCGCTCATTAACCTGCCTTCCGGTTTAATACGGCCCTGCAGTTAATTTGGTAAATCTATCTGTTGTGGCCCCAGTGAATCCCCAAGCGCCGCTCAGGACCCCTAGGATCTCTGGATCTTTGAACGCAGTGGTCCTGAGCGATGCTCGGGGATTCACTGGGGGCAAAGAGATTGCGAGAACGCAGACGGACGTGCAATGACCTCAGTCTGCATTGTCGCAATCTCTTGGACGTCACGGGATCGCAGGATTTAGTGCGCACGTGTCAGGGTACCTGTTGGTGATGTATCCAGGGAGGACATCCTCTCTGCTTAGGGGCTCCCTTCCCCTAGCATTTCGGCATATTTCGGCCGTTTTCGCGCCGGCCGCGCTAGCTCCTCCCCCTTTTATGACGCGACGGCTAGCGTCGACGTCATGACGTCGGCATTTGCATAAAGTGCCGGGAACCGCTATTCCGGACCTTTTGGGGGCGTGGTCTCTATTTAGGTAACAGGGTATTTAAAGGAAACCTTTACTACTGCTCATTGCCCTGTCGTGGTTCTAGCTTGCTAGTCACTCAGCGCGTTCTTTATCTTGTGTTTCCGGTTTTGACCCTTGCTTGTCTTTTGTCCTGTTGTCCTCTCCTCTCCTTTGACTCGGCTTGTATCTCGCTTACCTGTCCTCCGGCTCCCTTGACCTCGGCTTACCTTTTGACTATTCTTGCTTTGTCCTTACGTTAGTCCGGCCATTCTAAGGTCCGGTATACGTACCTCCTTCTGTGCGCACTCTGCGTATTGGATCCCTGTCAGTTTCCTGACAGCACGATTGCAGAATTTGGTTCCTTCTCCCTGCTGGAACAAAACGAATGGACAGCATAAAAAGGTACAGAATAAAGAGGGATAGAATAAAAAGGGACAGAATAAAAAAGGACAGATTAAAGAGAGAAGGGACAGAACAAAGAGGGACAGAATAAAGAGAGAAGAGATAAAATAAAGAAAGGAGGGACAGAATAAACAGAGAAGGGACAAGGGACAGAATAAAGAGAGAAGGGGAAGAATAAAGAGAGAAGAGACAGAATAAAGAGAGAAAGGGCAGAATAAAGAGAGAAGGGGTGGAATAAAGAGAGACAGAACAGAATAAAGAGAGGAGACAATAAAGAGACATAATAAAGAGATCTGAGACAGAATAAAGAGATGAAATGAAAAGTATGCTGTTTGCAAAAAACTTTGCATAAAATAGTTCATTTACATTTAATTTTAATGGTTCAAAGAATGTCAGGCAAAATGGTTGGCCCTCACGCATGTTCACGTCATCAGATATGGCTCTCTTTGAAAAAAGTTTGGACACCCATGTGCTAGAGGAAGTGGGATATAGTGATACAAAAGGTATAAATAGGGGTAACGAAAAAGGTTGCTAGAAAAGTGATCACTGAGAACTTAGTAGATTATTTTTGACAGTTGCAAGAGAGGAGTCATGAGGGCGCAGGCTGACAACCTGCTAACAGTTTCACTGATATGCTTCCTGAAGAAGTGTGTTTTCAAAATTTTAAGGAGTGGGTGAAAGTCTAATAGAGAAGGGAAGGGAGTTCCACAGAAAAGGTGCAGCCCTGGAGAAGTCTTGGAGGCGAGCATCAGAGGTGGGAGTACGGGCAGAGGATAGACGTAGGTCTTCGGCAGAGCGTAGGGGGCTCGACGGGACATACTTGTGTATTAGGGAGGATAGGTAGATTGGAGCAGCAATATGTAGGGACTTGTAAGCAAACACCAAAATCTTAAATTGAGCCCTATATCTAACTAGAAGACAATGCAGGGACTGACAGAGCGGGGAGGCGTGAGAGGTGCGGGCAGACAGGAAAATGAGCCTCGCTCCTGCGTTCATTATAGACTGATGCGGTGCAATCTTGGAGCACGTAAGACCACTGAGAAGTGGATTGCAGTAGTCAAGGCGAGAAAGAACAACAGCATGGACAAGCACCTTAGCTGCGTCCGATGGTAAATAGGGGCGGATGCAAGCTATGTTTTTGAGATGGCAACGGCAGGATTTGGCGATTAACTGGACATGAGGGGTGAAGGAGAGGTAGGATTCAAAGAGAAAACCTAGGCAGTGAGGTAGAGGTGATGGTGGCGCCGTTGACTTGGAGGGAGACAGACACAGGAGTAGCAACACTTGAGGGAAGAAAGACCAGAAGTTCTGTTTTGGACAGTTGGAGCTTAAGGAAGTGATCCGCCATCCTGTAGCCCATGGATCACCGCAGCTAAGAGGAATAGGCCTTGACAGAGCCAGGAGGTAGACATAGCAGCCACAGGGAGTTAGTGACAGCTAGCATGCTGGGTAGGGCGGAGCCATAAGGGGAGTATTTATACCAGCCATTATATGAAGTGGCCATTTTAACTGAACCTAAGCTTACCTGTCAGTTGTGAAAGCTGCCTGCCCTGGAGGGAGAAGGCAGCAGCATGGAGGCAGCATAGAAGAACAGGCAGCATGGAGGCAGCATAGAAGAACAGGCAGCATGGAGGCAGCATGAAGGCAGCATGAAGGCAGCATGAAGAACAGGCAGTACTGAGACAGGAGGCAGCATGGAGATACAGGAGAGGCTGGAGTGAGCTGCTACTACATGATCACTCCCATGAGCAGCATGGAGGCAGCATAGAAGAACAGAGGCAGCATGGAGGCAGCATAGCAGAACAGGCAGCATGGAGGCAGCATAGAAGAACAGGCAGTACTGAGACAGGAGGCAGCATGGAGGTACAGGAGAGGCTGGAGTGAGCTGCTGCTGCATGCTCACTCCCATCAGCCTCAGACAGAACTCCAAGCAAGCCACCATCCTGGTCACAAAGGTTGTGGCAGAATCGGGGCTGGTGGCTGCAGGAGCAGCTGGGGGGCCCCGAGCACGTCTGCTACCCCCCCCCCACGCGGCGGTGGAACAGAGGCCAGCAAGGAGAGCGAGGACGCCCCAGCGGCAGCCTGTGAGTGACATCGTTAGTTCGGCAGCCCGTGAGCCTGTCAGGAGGCGGCAAGGGGAAGGCTGAAAATGAGGTCGGAAAGCAGGCAGGAGTTGGAGGGCGGCTGGCGCCGTATGTTCGACGCGGCGCCGGTCAGGCAAGACGGCAGGTCAGGATGAGGCCGCACAGGAAGAGCGCCCCCTGCAATAAGGCGGGGGGGCGGGAAAGCACAAAGGACAGCGGAATCCAGCATGACATGATGGCCGCCAGGCAGGGAGAGCGGCAAGAGGCGTCCTGGTGAGTCTGCCCCTGGTGGCATACCTGAGTGACAGGGGGAATGATGCAAGGGCCCAGCAGTGTAAAAGCGGTCCCCCCCCCCCAATGGGCAGGCGGGGGGGGTCCAGGTCGGCGGGACACAGACGGAGGCGGCCCTGGATGGGGCCAGGGTCAGGTCAGAGGTGAAGGAAGGGGATAGTGAAAGCAGCAGGCGGAGTCTTCACAGGTGCAGCAGAGCAGCTATGGAGGGGAAGGCCAGCAACCAGGATTAAAGGGGCCACAAGTGGATGAGGCGACCGGGGAGAGGCCAGGTACTGCAAGCAGAGGGCAGAAGAGAGGACATGGACGGGTGGAAATGGACGCAAGGCACAGAGGCAAGCGGGAGCCCCCTGGGGGGCGTTCTCAGGAGCAGGAACACAGGAGGAGCATCAGCAGGTGTGAGTACGGGAGGGAGCAGCGCAACGACAATGACAAGAACAACAGCAGCGGGAGGTCGGATGAGGGATGGAGGAGCAGGTCGAGGAGTGTTACTTTTACGGGCTTGAGGCTGCACCAGCGCGGACAGGAGTCGGCATCCACCGGATACTCCAGAGCCTGGCAAGGTGGATGGAAGGACAGAGCAGATGGGGGTTCGGGCGGTGAGTCAATAAACACACCACACTTTTTTAAATTGCAAAAATCATTTTAGAGTCATGATCAAGGAAAAAGGGGGCCGTCTCGCGGTGCGGAAGGGTGGGGTCACCAGAGCGCACTCGGGAGGCCGAAGTAAGGGTGGTGGTGACGGCGTGACGGGTAAGGGAAGGGAAATACGGTGTACCGGTACCGGGGACATCTGACGGGGCAGGAGAACAGTTAGATGTGTGGCAATATTCCAGGCGCGGCGCAACAAAATGGGTATGTGTCCTTCGCGGGGACATTGGGGGGGCACTTGAAGGCGGAGGATAAGATTTGATAAAGGGGATTTGAAAAAAAAACAAAAAACATTTCCTGTCTTCCACTCGAGGAGTTCATTGATTTAAAAGGGGTGGTTTCTAACGATGGTGCAGGAAATGCGCTCTTTCCGGGGGCTGCCGGTGCACCCCCAGGAGGTGCGGTGCTTGCTGGACAGAAGAAAGGTCAGTGAAACTGGGGACCGTTGGGTAGGCTTCGATACGGGTGTTCCGGAGGCGGTGGGAGTCACGGTGTCAACTGACGCGTCAAGAAAGGAAAACCTAAGGCAGGAAGGGTACTCGGCAGGAGCGGCACCAGTGATGATCAGTGCATTGCTGCTGTGGCTAAGGCAGTAAGCCTCCCATGAATGCGCTAGTTTTATGGATGGGATTGTTGAGGGGGTTTACGCTATTCCATTCAAAGTCAAGGGACCAGGAAAAGTGGTGGCCGAATATCAAGTCCATGGGGGAACTTCCGCGCCATTAGCGGACCTGTGGGTGTCTCCATGGGGGGGTGGTCTCATAGAAATGGGCGGGCAAATTCCGTCCGATACAAAACTTAACGCACCTGAAAGGGGCATCGGTAAATGAGGACATCGCCGCGGAACTGTTCTGTATCATTGGCATCATTCGGCCTTGCCGTCGAGTTGGTTTGGGGGAACAGGAAGCGTTCGATTATTGGCGACCCTTCCATCTTTTGGGTTGCATGTTTGCAGGTTCCTATTGGTAACCACTACTTGCCAAGGGGCAGTTCCATTCATGTTCCTACTTCGGGAAGTTGGATCCGTCTGGGAGTGGGAGGTGAAAGAGGAATCAGAAAGGGGTTCCTTAGTACATTATCTGTAAGATAGCTTGCTGTGTGGGCTCGGCTGGGCCAGGACGTTGTGGACATACCTTATGGTCGCGGGAATCCTACCGCACGTCTTTGCTTGGGCTGGAAATTGTTTCGGTGGTAGGAGAGTGTCGATTGCCTGGGGTTCAGTTGACTTCACTTCGGGAGTTCAGGCTGAAGGTTCGCAGGTCCAAGAAGGTCACTGAGAAATCGCAGTTGTTCATAAGGCAGTTTCAAGTTGCATGTCGGGTTAGTCGCGAGGACTGGGTCGGTAACCATGTCATGGCGAAGGCTACTTGTGGAGCCTTTGCGGGTGGTATCGAGTTGTTCACGGATACCTCTGGGAACATAGAGTCCGGGGCATACCTGGAAGGCAGGTGGTGCACAGAGCGGCGGTGGGAGGCATGAAAGGTAAGTCCTCTTATTCGAAGTTGGCATCTTTTGAGTTATTTCCATTGGGAGTGGCTGTGGCTCTAAAAGGTGAAGTATTAAGGGATGAAAAGTCATAATTCACGCACAATACGGCGGGGTTCATGTGGTTTACCATCCAGCCGGGACCTCGGTTCAGGAGGTACGCTGATGGCGGCGATTCGTATCACTGTTCAGGTATCGGGTGCAGGCACGCCATGTGCCTGGTTGGCGGAAGGTAGGGGCTGGTTACTTGGCTCGCGCACAAGGGGACAAGCTGCGAATGGCGGCCCCAGGGGGCGCGGGAGGAGGGACAGTCCGGTCTGGAGGAAATGTGGCAGCTTGAGACGCCATGCTTGGAGGATCGATACAGAATCCTATGGCACCGGGCACAGGGACTGCCTATGTGAACGTTTGAGATATGTGGGACAAGGCGGTTGGTTTCACTGTGGGGGCCCAGTCAAAGGAGGAGCGAAGGGATACCTTGCTGTGGTTCCTAAGCCGTGTGTTCGTTCAGCGTTAGCTCCATCGGCAATGGACAGGAGCATGGCGGCATTGTTGTTAGGGTTCAAACTGACGGATTGGGAGGAAGTGACGGAACGTTGTCACGTCCGTCAGGCATCGCGGGTCTTACGGAGAGGTATGAAATATGTCGGTGCCGGGCGGCGGGTTTCCTTGGGTAACGCAACACCTGGTGGTGTATTACTCTACTTTTGCAGTGAGTTTGCTTGCAATTTGGATTGGGGAACTGGTAAGTGCCTTCGGGCAGGTGTTGGGGGGTTCTACACTCGGTTGTCGAACCTCAGTCGGTTAAGGTAACGATTCAGTAGGGTTGTTCAAGAACGGATGTGTCTGATAAAGGAGGTTTGGTAAAGCTATATTCCCTGCCGGGGTCAGGGGTATGCCCGGTGTTAAGCGCATCATGCTACTTGGAGCTTTGCCCGGACATCCCGGGTGGCTTACTGGTAAAAGGGGACAGATTGGTGCTGTCACGATTAAATTCCCGCAGGTGTTTGTTCGGAGGGGTTTGACAATGTTGGGTTTGGATCCCGGGCACTTTGGGACCCATTCTTCCCGGATGATGGCGGTAATAAAGGTGCCCCGCCTGGTTTTAAGTGAGGACCTAGGGAAACGTTTAGGCAGGTGGGAGTCAGTACGGTTTAAGTCCTGTTTCAGGCCAGTCTATTTGGTTTAATGGCTATGGATGTATGGGTTTGTGTTTGGGGCTATGCCTTGTCGCTAATTACTTTCGTTTCAGGTTTGGTGACATAGTTGGTGGGTCATTCTTATATCTAAGGGGCACAGATGGGAGCCGCGTTTCGGTTCAAACGCATCTGGGCTTTCCATTGGAATTGGTGGAGCAGGAGTGGTTTTGGTTTTTGGGGATTCCGGGAGGTAACAAGGGGTACTGTCCAGGACATTCTGGATATTGGCATGGTCCCGGAAAAGGAATTGATCAGGTGGAGGCAGAGGGAGGTGGACCGGCTATGGGAGCTGGCCACGGGTGTGGTGGTGGTGTGGTCCGAGATGGTTCCTCGGTTACATTGGAGACATACTACGTACCCAGCCTTGGTAGCTCGGTGTCGAGGACGACTTAATAAAAAATTGATGGCGGTATTTATCAGATGTGGGGGCGGTGTAACAGTGAGACACAATGAATTGGGAGGAAAGCTCCCTGGGTACTCCAGGTGGGATGGGGTACATTTTCGGATGTAAGGTGTGATCTGTTTAAATTGGGCCTTCAGGAAGGCATTCAACAGGCCTTATTCCGGTGTGGTGGGGGTCGCTCAGGAGCTTTAGGTGTCAAGTCCTGAGCTGTGGCGGGGAATGGCCTGGTTAAATCGGAGGGTAGATGGAGGAGAAAGTGGGCATCCTGAGGTTTAGTGTGGATTGGGCAGTGTTGCACGTGGTTGGTAGGTTCGAGCCCGTCGGTGGCTCCGAACCTGGGGGTGTGGTGGTGTCTTGGTACACCCTACACTGGAACTGGTGGGTAGCGGTGTCTTGGTACACCCCTACAATGGATATGGTGGGTAGCGGTGTCTTGGTACACCCCTACAATCGATATGGTGGGTAGCGGTGTCTCGGTACACCCCTACAATTTAACCTGGTGGAAATGTGGTCAAATTGGGCGGCCAGTTTCTGTGTTAACATGTTATTTAGATTGTTATCTATTGTTATTATTGTGGGGTCATTGCTAGGGGTATGTTATGTATATGGGGGAGGTTAACATTATTAAGCTTTGTTGGCAATGACCCCATTTGTTATTCCTTAATTATTTTATTAATAATTTAATAAAGCTGTGGACGAATTATTTCCAACAGTATAACCTGTGTCCGTGTCTTAACGGGGGGTTAGGGTAAGGTTAGCGCATATGCCGGCAAATCCGACTGTGCGCCTGTCAAGTTGGAAATCACAGAGACGCATGCAGCAATAAGCTGTAACAATGCAATGAGCTGTAAGAATACAATGAGCTGTAACAATGCAATAAGCTGTAACAATGCAATGAGCAGTAATAATACAATGAGCTGTAATAATGCAATGAGCTGTAATAATACAATGAGCTGTAATGATAAACTGAGCTGTGATAATATGAGCTGTAATAATATGAGCTGTAATAATACATTGTAATAATACTCCATTGTAATACAGTAATAATTATTGCCAGTCTAGCCTTCATGACATTCTGCTTCTATTCGCTTTACTCTGCCATTAGCAGGACAGTGAGTGGAGTAATATATCTTATTTCTTGTCCTAGGGCTGCCGCAGGATAATTTTTTGGTGCAGCTGTCTTGCGTGAGGTACGCCGACCAGGACAACTCATTCCGTTACCCCAACTTCATCTGTTGCCTCCTAAAACTGAAAAGTGTGATAGGTGAGGACAGACGTCAAAGACAGACAGACCATTGTTGCCCTCCAAAATATGAACAAAATTAATATTGGTAAGGTAGATGTGACATCTCTGTATTATCAATCGAAGAGCAGGGAACCAAGCCCAAGTTTTGGTCAAGCCACTCAAACCGTGTGATCCAGAACCAGGTGCAATGTCCACTGGCTACCATAACCACTACATTGGTACGTAGTGCTTATGGTGCCTAGACTGCCGCTGAATGTATCAATTCATGGAACATTCCATAAACCCCATAAATGAACGCCGTTACACAGCTATAACTATTTCTCCATCTTGCACAGGTCATGCATGGTGCCTCTGTACATATTAATGTCTTTTTAACAATCATTACAAATGTAAACCCTCCACTTTGAGATGTTACAGGGAAAAGCTTTCCTTCCCACGGTTTGCACGGTGTGCTGTGTCGTTTAACTCCGCCATGTCTTTCTATGAGAGCACCGGTACTGCAGTTGTATGTATAAAGCTGATGCGAGTAGCTTTGTTCACTAATTGATTCATTTTTTTCATGAATGAAATTACTTCCAAGTTCTAAACTGCTTATTTTCGCGAAGCCCAAACTGACCAGCTGCGTGATGACTACCTTATCTTCGCGGTTTTAATAAATGTAAATTTTTTTTTGTATTGTGTTATCCCATAGCTCAGTGTCATCCCGCAATAGATATACAGCTTTTACAATAAATGTTTGAAAAGTGACGTCTAGCTCCGTGTAATCCACTGATGTGTTTTCTGCAGGGCTTTTTCAGGCCGCGGACCGCTCGGGCTCTGGCACAGTGACCTTAGACTATCACCAGGTAAGTAGTGATCCGATAAAGGCAATAAATAACCAGGGGAGTAAGGCTAGCCACAGAAAACATGGATTCAATCAGACAACCACAGGCTGTTCCGGTCAAAGCCGTTAAAATGAGCCGTCTGGCTATTCTATCCAAGTTCCAACCCATAATTTCTATGGACAACCAAATGGCGAAAACGGCACGTGAGGGCATATTCACTAGCACCAAATTCTAGTGAATGGCAAAATTGAAGTTAAAATTGCAAGCTGTGACTATGGCAGGCTTGGATAATGTGCAATTCACAGTAATTCGGTGGTTACTGAATATATCTCACGTCTTAAATTCACTAAACCAAGAGCTGTGATGAATTAACAAGTGGATGGCCGATATTAAGCTGAATAAACCAACTTGGAAATAGGCCAATTCGAGATTTATTCAGTTTGGCTAAAATGTGCAATTTCCATATAATTATGTGTATATTAGCTGAGATCACTTGCTAACGTGCTTGTTTTCCGGTAACAGTGGCTGCGGCTGGCTATGTACAGCTGACCGCAGAGGATTCAGACGGCAAGAGACTGCTCGATCGGCGCGAGCCGGCCACCACGCGGCTGGAGACATCGTCGACCTGTCACCCCACCATATAAGATGATTCAGGCAGGGCCGGTCTGTAAGAAGATAAGGAAACGGAGGACCTGCGCGTTTAAATACCAACATCAGGCAGAAAGACACCTGGACATGAGAACAAATGGCGTGCAATCCCAGAATGCATCTGTTTTTTAAAGTGGCGGTCTCCTATGCTAACGCTAAACAGCCCCTCTGATTTTGTCTCCTTCCTGAGGGCTATTGCCTTTTACCGTATTTTTAAAAAATGACTACCAAACCAAAAAATACCTCATAAACCACATACCTATGTGGCTGCCTTGTCCTCACCAGACACAGACATTAAACTTTGACTTCTATTGCAGGATGGTTCTTGTGATTTACTTCACATCCATGCACACATTTATATTACAAAATATTGACTTTAATTGTCCAAGGGTATTTATTACTATAGTCTGCAGTAGTTTATACACAGAGGGTGTTTATTACTATAGTCTGCAGTAGTTTATACACATAGGGTGTATTTATTACTATAGTCTGAGGTAGTTTATACACAGGGGGTATTTATTACTATAGTCTGAGGTAGTTTATACACAGGGGGTATTTGTTACTATAGTCTGAGGTAGTTTATACATATAGGGGGTATTTATTACTATAGTCTGAGGCAGTTTATACACAGGGGGTATTTATTACTATAGTCTGAGGTAGTTTATACACATAGGGTGTATTTATTACTATAGTCTGAGGTAGTTTATACACATAGGGTGTATTTATTACTATAGTCTGAGGTAGTTTATACACATAGGGTGTATTTATTACTATAGTCTGAGGTAGTTTATACACATAGGGGGTATTTATTACTATAGTCTGAGGTAGTTTATACACAGGGGGTATTTATTACTTGACAGGCGCACAGTCGGATTTGCCGGCATATGCGCTAACCTTACCCAAACCCCCATTAAAACACGGACACAGGTTATACTGTTGGAAATAATTTGTCCACAGCTTTATTAAATTATTAATAAATAATTAAGGAATAACAAATAGGGTCATTGCCAACAAATCTTAATAATATTAACCTCCCCCATATACATAACATACCCCTAGCAATGACCCCACAATAATAACAATAGATAACAATCTAAATAACATGTTAACACAGAAACTGGCCGTCCAATTTGACCACATTTCCACCAGGTTAAATTGTAGGGGTGTACCGAGACACCGCTACCCACCATATCGATTGTAGGGGTGTACCAAGACACCGCTACCCACCATATCCATTGTAGGGGTGTACCAAGACACCGCTACCCACCATATCCATTGTAGGGGTGTACCAAGACACCGCTACCCACCAGTTCCAGTGTAGGGTGTACCAAGACACCACCACACCCCCAGGTTCGGAGCCACCGACGGGCTCGAACCTACCAACCACATGCAACACTGCCCAATCCACACTAAACCTCAGGATGCCCACTTTCTCCTCCATCTACCCTCCGATTTAACCAGGCCATTCCCGCCGCTGTGAAAAAACGGGAAATCAACTAACCTAACCAAATACAGGGAGGGTGGGAGGGACAACTGACAGGTAAGCTTAGGTTCAGTTAAAATGGCCACTTCATATAATGGCTGGTATAAATACTCCCCTGTGGCTGCTATGTCCTTCCTCCTGGCTCTGTCAAGGCCTATTCCTCTTAGCTGCGCTGATCCATGGGCTACATGACAGGCGCACAGTCGGATTTGCCGGCATATGCGCTAACCTTACCCAAACCCCCATTAAAACACGGACACAGGTTATACTGTTGGAAATAATTTGTCCACAGCTTTATTAAATTATTAATAAATAATTAAGGAATAACAAATGGGGTCATTGCCAACAAATCTTAATAATATTAACCTCCCCCATATACATAACATACCCCTAGCAATGACCCCACAATAATAACAATAGATAACAATCTAAATAACATGTTAACACAGAAACTGGCCGTCCAATTTGACCACATTTCCACCAGGTTAAATTGTAGGGGTGTACCGAGACACCGCTACCCACCATATCGATTGTAGGGGTGTACCAAGACACCGCTACCCACCAGTTCCAGTGTAGGGTGTACCAAGACACCACCACACCCCCAGGTTCACCACACCGGAATAAGGCCTGTTGAATGCCTTCCTGAAGGCCCAATTTAAACAGATCACACCTTACATCCGAAAATGTACCCCATCCCACCTGGAGTACCCAGGGAGCTTTCCTCCCAATTCGTTGCGTCTCACTGTTACACCGCCCCCACATCTGATAAATACCGCCATCAATTTTTTATTAAGTCGTCCTCGACACCGAGCTACCACGGCCGGGTACGTAGTATGTCTCCAATGTAACCAAGGAACCATCTTGGACCGCACCACCACCACACACGTGGCCAGCTCCCATAGCTGGTCCACCTCCCTCTGCCTCCAATTCCTTTTCCGGGACCATGCCAATATCCAGAATGTCCTGGACAGTACCCCTTGTTACCTCCCGGAAAAATTTCTCCCCTAATGTCTTGCCACCAAAATCCCCAAAAAACAAAACCACTCCTGCTCCACCAATTTCAAAGGAAAGCCCAGTTACGTTTGAACTGAAACGCGGCTCCCATCTGTGCCCCTTAGATATAAGAATGACCCACCAACCATGTCACCAAACCTGAAACGAAAGTAATTAGCGACAAGGCATAGCCCCAAACACAAACCCATACGTCCATAGCCATTAAACCAAATAGACAGGTCTGAAACAGGACTTAGACCGTACTGACTCCCACCTGCCTAAACGTTTCCTTAGGTCCTCACTTAAAACCAGGTGGGGTGCCTCTGTTACAGCCATCACCTGGGAAGAATGGGTCCCCAAGTGCCCGGGATCCAAACCCAACATTGTCAAACCCCTTCGAACAAACACCTGCGGGAATTGAATCGTGACAGCACCGATCTGTCCCCTTTTACCAGTAAGCCACCCGGGATGTCCGGGCAAAGCTCCAAGTAGCATGATGCGCTTAACACCGGGCGTACCCCTGATCCCGGCAGGGAATATAGCTTTACCAAACCTCCTTTACCAGACACATTCGTTCTTGAACAACCCTACTGAATCGTTACCTTAACCGACTAAGGTTTGACAACCGAGTGTAGAACTCCCCAACACCTGCCCGAAGGCACTCACCAGTTCCCCAATCCAAATTACCCCAAGCCTCCGAGAAGGCCACCGCAAGCAAACTCACTGCAAAAGTAGAGTAATACACCACCAGGCGTTGCGTTACCCAAGGAAACCCGCCGCCCGGCACCGACATATTTCATACCTCTCCGTAAGACCCACGATGCCTGACGGACGTGACAACGTTCCGTCACTTCCTCCCAATCAGTCAGTTTAAACCCTAACGACAATGCCACCATGCTCCTGTCCATTGCTGATGGAGCTAACGCTGAACGAACAAACAGCTTAGGAACCACAGCAAGGTATCCCTTCGCCCCTCCTTTGACTGGGCCCCCACAGTGAAACCAACCGCCTTGTCCCACATATCTCAAACGTTTACATAGGCAGTCCCTGTGCCCGGTGCCATAGGATTCTTTATCGATCCTCCAAGCATGGCGTCTCGAGCTGCCACATTTCCTCCAGACTGGACAGTCCCTCCTCCCGCGCCCCCTGGGGCCGCCATTCGCAGCTTGTCCCCTTGTGCGCGAGCCAAGTAACCAGCCCCTACCTTCCGCCAACCAGGCACGTGGCGTGCCTGCACCCGATATCTGAACAGTGATACGAATCGCCGCCATCGGCGTACCTCCTGAACCGAGGACCTGGCTGGATGGTAAACCACATGAACCCCGCCGTATTGTGCGTGAATTATGACTTTTCATCCCTTAATCCTTCACCTTTTAGAGCCACAGCCACTCCCAATGGAAATAACTCAAAAGATGCCAACTTCGAATAAGAGGACTTACCTTTCATGCCTCCCACCACCGCTCTGCGCACCACCTGCCTTCCAGGTATGCCCCGGAATCTATGTTCCCAGAGGTATCTGTGAACAACTCGATACCACCCGCAAAGGCTCCACAAGTAGCCTTCGCCATGAAATGGCTACCGACCCAGTCCTCGTGACTAACCCGACATGCAACTTGAAACTGCCTTATGAACAACTGCGATTTCTCAGTGACCTTCTTGGACCTGCGAACCTTCAGCCTGAACTCCCGAAGTGCAGTCAACTGAACCCCAGGCAATCGACACTCTCCTACCACCAAAACAATTTCCAGCCCAAGCAAAGACGTGCGGTAGGATTCCCGTGACCGTAAGGTATGTCCACAACGGCCCGGCCCAGCCGAGCCCACACAGCAAGCTATCTTACAGATAATGTACTAAGTGTACCTCCCACTCCCAGACGGATCCAACTTCCCGAGTAGGAACATGAATGGAACTGCCCTTTGGCAAGTAGAGGTTACCAATAGGAACCTGCAAACATGCAACCCAAAAGATGGAAGGGTCGTCAATAATCGAACGCGTCCTGTTCCCCCAAACCAACTCGACGGCAAGGCCGAATGATGCCAACGATACAGAACAGTTCCGCGGCGATGTCCTCATTTACTGATGCCCCCTTTGGGTGCGATAAGTTTTGTATTGGACAGAATTTGCCCACCCATTTCTAGGGGACCACCCCCCATGGAGACACCCACAGGTCCGCTAATGGCGCGGAAGTTCCCCCATGGACTTGATATACGCCCACCACTTTTCCTGGTCCCTCGACTTTGAATGGAATAGCGTAAACCCCCTCAACAATCTCAGCCATAAAACTAGCGCATTCATGGGAGGCTTACTGCCTTAGCCACAGCAGCAATGCACTGATCATCACTGGTGCCGCTCCGAGCCGCAACCGCGGGGCTGAAGCCCTGCCGAGTAGCCTTCCTGCCTTAGGTTTTCCTTTTTTGACGCGTCA